TTTCAGCTGAGCAGATGACAAATTGTTACATTTTTTCCACATATCTCCATCAGCAATCCCATTTTTAATCAACAAAATCTGTATGCCAATCAATTTTTTACAGTTTTGTTAAGAATATTTCAGCCCTCACTGCAGGAAAGTGTTTCTGCCAGCTGTAAAATGTATTTTATATGTTTGTAAACAACCAAAAAAAGAACTTGTAACATGGATAAATACAATTTGAATTTCAATATCGTTTTGTGTTAAACCAATAAATATGTTTGGGTTTTTTTTAATAACAAGATTATTTGACCACTTAGTCACATGCTGCCCTTATACTTACAAAACAACCCATTGGCAAAGATAACATTTAAATAAGCGGAAATCATGTTTGCTACTGGTTGTTTGAGAGTGGCAGTAAAAAACAATAAAGCTCTAAGTAATGGAGATGGAGGAAATAGGGTACTAATTATTACAAAAATTATAACAATATAGTAATGATAAATAGCCAACTATCCTATAACTATATGTCAGACTCTATAACCTGCCCATGCCATTTACACTGCTCTATTTGCACACTGCTCTATTTGCACTACCTTGTATATTTTACTTTTTATACTTTTTATATTTTTTATCCATATTTTTATCCTAAGTGTATATATTAGTCTATTTTTTGCATGCCTTATACCCACAGTGTTTTTAGAGATTTTTATAATTTTATTTACCTATTCAATATCATATGTTTCATGTTGCACGATTGTACCATAAAAAATTCCTAATTTGTGAACTCCTTCACTAACAATGGCAATAAACCTGATACTGATCCTGCAATTATTAGGGGTGCACTAATTGCCGATTGATCGGCCTCTATTTCCTTAATTGTGGGAGATTGGTGATCGACCGATACTTAGCTGTCAAACTGATCTTTTCCATAGTTCTCATCTACATCTGTAAAGAAAATCAGTGCTCTAAACTTTGTTTTATATTTAACATTCATTTCAGATGTTTTTATTGTTTTACATGTACTGATTAATACCTTTCAGTGAGATCAGATTGAACTATCTAAGGGGTTTGATCTGATAACAACGCTTTTATAACAACACTGTCTGTTATAAAAAAAAAAAAAAAAAAAAGATCTGTATCGATCAAAATTGGAATCGAAGTGTAAGGCTTTTTAAAGATTGAGAATCGGTGAGTGGCCAGAATCCTGCAATTAAATACGTATATTTTCTCTCTAGATTTTAGTATAAGATTTTGCTTCTTTTTTTTATATTGAAGTTCAGTCATAATGTTTTTGTTTTTTTTTTCATTTCGGTATAGTAGCATATAGATTGTTTGATTCACGCTGAATTAATCTGTCTCATTCTGCTCATCTTTTCCCGCACTAACATTCTATTTTTTGTGATTTCTGATAATCAAAATATGTTCACATGTGCATAGACTCTCTCCATCTGTCTATGAACCGTTTTTGGGTCACAGTGTTTACCACAGAAATATTTACGTGCGAGTTTGCACCTGATTTTAGGAGCCAGTCATTACAGACTCATAAACACTACTAGTAATCAGTTTCAGATTTGACAGATTGCTTTGCAGCTTTTAAGTGTTTACTTATTGCATATTTTCACCCAGTTATTAGAATATGATCTTTATATTCATAGAAGCACACATGCAAAAACATTTGTGTTGCCAGTTCTATTAATTCTACAAAAGCAAATCCATCTACACCTGCTTGAAGATCAGCTTTGGGCATGCTAACAGTTTTGCACACATTCTAATACAAGCAATATTGTATAAAACCTCAAACTCAGCGCTATCCTGAAATTGTCAATTGAAAAAGCTTCTTGGATGGGAAGTGAAACATTTTCAAACTTGTTTTTCATTTTCTTTTTTTTTTTGGGAAGGACTACAACCTGGATGACTGACAATCTTCTCCAGCAATACAAGCAAACCAGGCTTTTGAAAGAATGTTTTATCCAACTGTATTGAAAAGTTTAGTGGAAGGAAAAATAAATAAAAAGTAAATCAAAAAGCACTAAATACCCCTTAAGACACAGAAACCAAGGACATTGGCTACAACTACAGCAGTTTTTGACGTTAAGCTACTCCTGAACCTCTGAAAATGCAACAAGCAGTCATGACCAATGTGCAAAGTCTGCAGTAACTGTTATATTTTTCAGCAAACCTATTAACATGTCTCACTATATTTTATTGCATAGTGTAACAGCCGTTAAAGCTAGAGCTCTGCTGCTCTAAGTAAACACAAAAGTGCTATATTTTCTTTGCTCTATCAAGAGGGAACACAATAAATCAGATCCAACACTGTTGTTAAAGTATTCTAGGCTTACTTTCCCACCAAATACTGAGTGCAGCAGAGACATACTATCAAACATAAACTGTCCTTGTTTTTCACTCTAAGAATAGATTGGTTTGAGAAACATTCTAGTTTGTTAAACCAGTTTGGGTTAGATTAACCAATACATCCAACAGAAACTGACAAGCCACCAGTTTCAGATCAACCAGTTTAGTTATTAAATGGTAACTGATGGTCTACTAATCTGACTGTTGGCTGTAGTCATGTGTATTGTGTAATAAATATGGACCTAGAGAACAATTACAATAATGTGTACATATATAACATGCTAATTTTGGCATTAACCCTGGTGCTAACAGTAGTATTAAAAAGTATTAAATTTCATGAAGTTTTAGTGGGAACAGTTGCATCAGATGTAGGAGTCAGCCCTGCAGTAAAAGAGTTGATGGTTCAAGCCTGTGATCTGAATTCAATATGGTTAAACTAATTAACCAATAAATTTGCTCAAATGGACCAATTTGTATTGCTTTGCTAGCCTGGTAAACTAGCCCCACCCGCCAAAGGCCATAATCATTACACATTTAATCTCACATTTAGTCTGGTTTATCAGGTTATTGCTTTGCACTTTTACCAGTATAGATTGGTTATAACCACTCTCAAATTAGATTGGTTATTCTAACCAAAAGATTGGTGGGAAACATAACTATGAACCTGATTACTGAAATTCAACCAATTTCTTTTGGTTGTATAGACCAGACTGTTTTTAGGGTGTTATTTTATGTAAAATTGACTTTTCAAACAAACATAGTCAAGGGTTTTCATTAGTTATATGACCGTTCATATTAAAAACTGATAACCCCATAAAACATTCATTTAGATTTCACTCTTATCATAAATCACTGAAATTCACTTTCCATAAGTTATTCTAATTAGTTCAGAGGCACCTTTTAATCATGAATTATTTAACATTTAAAGTTTTCATATGTTTCTTGACAACAAAAAACACTGTGGTTAATTATGCACACCAATATACTAACATTAAAGGTGATTAATATTGTCTCCATTCAAACCCAGGTTTAAAACCTTGCAGGGGAGCCTAAAGCCCAGCGTACACTGTGCGATTTTCGGGGCTATTTTCCAGTCATGGGAAGAACTTTCGACCGGGCCGACTTTCAGCCTGATCGTGCAGTGTACAGTGGGTTACGAGCGGCGATCAGCCTCTCACGACCACCTCCTGATCAGGAATCGTGAGGTCAAACATATTTTAATTTTCTCCCAACCGTCGAGGGCAAATCGCTCGGGGCGCATGCGCAAAAAAGGATTCTTCTTTTTATTATTCCTCTCAGATGTAAACACAGCAGCATGGGAGGGCTGCAATGAGTGAAATGCAGCTCCATCTGCAAAATTGACGGACCTGCTCAGCCACATCCTTTTTCCAAATACGTCAAAGCCTTTTTTCTTTTAGGACTTTTAGCACAATATTGCACAAATTGCCAAGGCAGCGCAGTTCACTATAGTGAGCTTAATATCCCCCTTCTATTGGTTTGGCTTCAGGATAGACAGAGCAGACCAGTTCCATCTCACTACGGAACTGAGTCCGACATGGTGTGAGCAGGTAGATCGCATCAGAGCGTCGGGCCGAACATAAATCGCGAGCTGTGAACTTACTGTACAACTAAACCCAGCAATTAGTCATACAATGTGAGCAGCAGATGCGCGCAACGATTGAAAAAAATCGCACAGTGTACGCCGGGCGTAAAGCCCACTACTCTCATTAAGCCGTAAAAAAAAAAAAAAAAAGAAAGAAAGAAAACGGTCAGTTCAGGTGTTTTATGAAACATGTGAATCAGGAAATTGTCAATATACCAAATTGAACGATTGCTGTTCTCTACTTCAAAAAACACTTTAGACTTTAAAATGGAAAAATTTTCAATTTTTTTAATTTTTTTTTTTATATATATTCTTTCTTATATGAAATTTGAATGTATAACATGAATGCATAAACACCTCATTTTATTTCAGTGTTAAATACTGTTTAAAGTAACAGATCATTAAAAATATCTCCAGACCGTTACTGATTGATGATTTTCTTGATTCGGACCCCCTGATTTTTAATTGGTGACCCCTGGTGTAGATTGACCCTGAGACCACCCACCCCTGACCCCCCCAGTGTACATTGGTTATTCCCTGGCCCCCCTTATTACATTTTTCTAGCTACGCCTCTGCTTAAAGCTTAATAGTATCATTTAAAAAACCTATATTAAAGTTTTCGGCGTAAAGATCCTGACTATTTTTGGCCTATTTGTGGACTTCTGGGAACTGCCTCTCCATATATGGGCATATCCCGTCTGACTGCAGTTGAACATGGATCGGGTAACGTCAGTCACCAACAGGTAAAGACGGATGATGAGCCTGAGTGTTGCTTAAGATAGCGGAAGAACACCAGCAGAGCTTTGCTGTAACAATCCTCATTCACTGAGGGGATTTAACCGCATATTACACGTGAATTACACAACTCAACACCCATAGAAGAACAATTAAAGCGCCTGTCAAATCCTCACCCTAGAAAAATGGCAGCATTGAAGTCCTTTAAGGTGTAAAATAATAGTGTGTGACTTGTTTCTCTTTCAGCCCTAATCCTCCGCTTCCGCGCTTATTCCTGCAGTTTTACCTGTCTGCCTGTCCGTCCGTCTGTCTGTCGGATACTTACATTGTTGAAGAGCGAACCGACGTTTGCTGTGACGAGCAGCACATCGGTGAAGGTGTCCATGTTGAAGCGGACACTTTGAGGTTGTTAAAAATAAAAATATAAAAAGTCCGCCTGACTGTAGCGTCTCTGGTGGAGCTTAAACCAGCTTAAAATACAACAAGCAAGGAAAATAAGTTTATAACCAGCTGCGGTTGGAAGTGAAAAACGCCGCTCTCATGTCACTGCGCGCGCGCCGCTCGCGGTCCAACTCCTGTGCTGTTGATAGCGGGCTGTTGGTTCATGTCATCATACACCTCGGTAGGGCTCATACTCCTCGCCGCGAGCGGCGACTTTAAATGCGTGGATTTCCTCCCCCTCTGGGTTAATTGGACTAGCAGCTTCTTAAGAGACTAAACCAGTGTGGACGGGGTGAAGTGCTCCTACAACCCGGAGGAAGCTGACTGATTGTTGTGACAGGACGCTCCGCCCTCATGCAGCGGAAACCTGCCTTATAGTTTGAATTCAAACAAACCAGACGCGATACAGGCTTTATAGATTCACACGCGCCGCTTTCACACTGTTTTAATGTTTGCAGCCAGGGGCGGAGCTAGATAGGGGCTATGGCCACCCTTTGCCAATCATTGGCCATCCCTGTGGCCAAAGGTATCAAGTAAGGAAGTACAAGTACTTCATTATAGGGCTGTGAATCTTTGGGATTCCCATGATTCAATTTAGAATCGATTCTTGGGGTCACAATTCAATTTTTTTCCTATTCTTTTAAATCCAAACGATTCGATTCAGAAACGATTAATTTACTATTCAAAACGATTCTCAGGATCTATTCCAGTCTGCTGGCACGACAGAAGAGTACATTTATAAAGACTTTATAATTGTAAATGTTTTATTTACCTATTGCAATAATATAAACACCAAAAAGTAAATCCAAGACAACATGTCTTGGATTTATCCAAGACATGTTGTCTTGGATAAATCCAAGACAACATGTCTTGGATTTATCCAATTCTACCAACAACTCTGGGTGATGTCTTTCGAGATGAGAACGGGGATTTGAAGTACTCCCAAAATACTTAACTTTACCGTTGCAATCTCTGCAAATCGCATGAGTCATGTCAAGCCCTTTCTTACCCGAGCCGGTTTGAAGATAAAATCCAAAGTGTTTCCAAATGGTTGCTTTTAAAGACCAGGGAGGTGGTTGAATTTATTTTTCTTCGTCCTCCATACTTTAGCGACAAGAAACACAGTAGCTCACACAACACTACACACCACTCTGTAGCCAGCTAGGCTAACACTTGCATGCCTGTGCTTACTGTAGCTCACGCTGCTCATCGGTTTCGCCAAAACTACGGTGCCTGATAAGGCACATCCGCACCCACAAAAAAAAAAATGTTTTTAAAGAAAACGAGAATCGATTCTGAATCTTTAAATGTTATAAACGCTATATGAGCTCAAATCGATTTTTTTCTTCACCCCTAATTCATTACTGTAACGAAATACATTTTGTGTTTTAAGGGGTAAAGATTAAAGTCATAGGAGTCTTCAGTGAAACCATAGATAAATAACTATTTAATGCAGACTTGTGCGTTCTTCAGACGGACAGCTGTCCCAGCATGCACTGGGGCAGCAGCAGCTTCCAAAGGAATGCCTACAGAGCTCAGAGTATTACGTTAAAAGTTCACTTTCGGTTGCTATGTCACCATGTCGGTTGCCGTTGTTCTATAAAAGTACATTTTAAGATTGTTTGAGGCAAGAATATCATACTCTAAGCTTTACTATATGGCCCATTTACTGATTTAGTGCATAATAAATAAAACAAAGTTCCTATGTTGAGAGGACCACGGAAACCAGAATCAAGGGCGGTGAATGTGTGAATTACTACGGGCTCTGATGGCAAAAAGTTCTTTTGATTTGTGTTTGTCTGACTGCATTAATCATTACGATTTCAGCATTACAGTAAAGCAGTGCATCACGTTAGTCATAAGACCACAGATGATGATAGCCATCCACTTTCTTGTCACTTTGAGCTCCTTCCATCACTGCAGAGGCAAAGATTCCTTGTTCTAAGAAAAATGCGTACAGAAATTATTTGTGCCCTCTGCCATAAAGGAGCTGAACAAGTTGTAAATATAACTCGGTCTGTTCTGCTTCCCTCTCCTTGATGAAGTGAATCTGCTGCTGCTGCTGTGTCCGCAATGAACTCTTTTATAATTGTATTTTAATGTATTTTTATAACATTGTTGTGTGGTGAGTAAACCAAAGGCACATTTCTGCTATCATTGTGTATGGTAGACAATTAAGTTTTTTTCTATTTTCTATTCTATTCTATTCTATTCTATTCTATTCTATTCTATTCTATTCTATTCTATTCTATTCTATTATTACCCCACTAACTAAATTAGTTTTTATTTCATAATCAGTTCTTGTAACTTTCACTTTGGACAATCATCAATAGAAAATAAGTGGGTTTCTGTTCAATTGATACATTTGTTCTGTGGATGTAGTCTATCGGTCTGTGGGGAATTAATGTATCCTATTTGTGTTTCACCTTTTCAGTAGAAATAAATTAAATAGGCTATTCAGTAATATTCTAAATAATTAAATATTGAATTTAGATTTATTTCTTTTCCCCGCTATTCTTGTACACATTTCTTCTCTGAACTGTTGTGTAGTTGGTATCAAATCATTACAGTGTATAAAGTGTCACGCATTGGTTGTGACAGGCTGGGATTATGTTTAATGTTTTCCTGAGAATCTATGTCCTTTTATGGAGGTGTGGTTCATCTGAAACTCAGGCCTGTTCTGGGTGGAATACACCAACTATGCACATTTTCTTCCCCAAGTCAGTTATACACATGGAAATGTTTTTCTTAAGCATTTTTTCTGCAATGGTTGTTTTCAAATAAATCTGCTGATGTTGATGAATTAAAGAGTTTGTAAGAGGGGTGAGAGGAAGCAAGAAAAAGAGCTCTAAAGGTTGGTTGTGTAACTCCTTCCATGGTTTGCAGCTCAGTAAGAGCACTATGGAGAAACAAAGTCAAGACCCAACATTCTTTTGCTTTACAGCCTTTTATTGTGAACCACTGGATGGCATAGATCTATTACCTTTAGTTCACAGGAGTGCTTTATAGCTCTACCGACTCCAATGGATTATGCTAGTAAAACTGGTTTGACATGTTTGGATGTCTTCAAAGACTGCATGTGTGGTTTTTCTTTAAAACATTAAGAGACATCGGAAAAGGAGAAGGTTCTCACAAACTAATCAAACAGAAACTGTTACTATGGTTATATTTTTAGAGATAACAGATCTTATAAAACTGCCTCGCTGTTCGCTGGAAGTCACGTTGTGGTTTTGTGTTATTTGTTGGCAGTTTACAGTGTTTTCATAGCTATTTTAACTTCTTTCAAGTGTGATATTAATTGTAATGGTTTGTGTGAGTTACTTTAAACAGGACTTGGTGCATTTAGCTTCAGCAGTCTTCCTATCAGTTCTGGTGCTCCTCTGATGCTCTCCACAAGGCCAAGCCAGCTGTTTTCAAGTGAACCGAACATTTAGTAATTCAGTTGCATAATTTATTTTTCCCACCACAGTGTAATGATTTAAGTTCAGTCTGGGTTTGATGCAAACGCTGCAATATTAAACCAGATTTAAGTGTTTTGTTTTTCATTAAACAATGAGATTTGTTGTTTGTTTTTATATTTTCAGTTTTAAACAAATTAAGGAAAAAAAGGAGGACAATGAAAATGGATGGATGGATGGATGGATGGATGGATGGATGGATGGATGGATGGATGGATGGATGGATGGATGG